GGACACGAGGCCTGGTCCAAAGTCCGGATAGACCTTCCTAATGGGGAAAAAGCCTGGTCCAAAGTCCGGACTCGCCAGCGAGGTCTGAGCAAACAGTAGATAGGGGCTAGTCCTGGGTCCGGATTCGGATCGGACATAGGATATCATGCCTGGTCCCATGTCCGGACTGTGACCAGCCTCGATGCCCTGGTGCGTAGTCCGCACTCATAAAGGCCTGTAACCCCGTCCGGACTTCAGCCACTGTTTTTGTAGAGGAAGTATTTTCAAGTCATATCTTTATAATTAGTGGCATATGGAGCTTTTCCTAGTTACTGAATAACCATACTTGCGGTGGACTTCGAAGTGAGGCGCCCTTCTTCACGTATAACCAAGTATGCATTATTGGCGGGGGGAAGATTCGAACCGGCGGTGACGCAAAACAAGATAGCCGCTGTAACCGCTAAGCTACGGTTGTACATTTCACGCGTTCCCAGCTTAGCTATATTATTAGATACACCACAATGGGGACGAAAGCAGTGCCACCCCCACCACATTACTGACGCTTGCTCTGGCTTAAGCTGATATTTGTTGACAAGTAGGGCGACTCCTTCTCGCTGCCTCACCTCTGGCAACACTCAGTTTCTTTTTAGTCCCATCATAATAACACAAGGTTTTATAGGGGACTCTATCATTGCTAGTGCTTGCAGACTGCCCCGACTGTTAAGACTTATTACAGACAATTGGTGTATGGCCAACATTAACGACGCTGACGATGCCTGTTTCCATGTCCGGATAGTAATAACCCCTATCCCAAGAGGCCTGTCGCTCTGTCCGGATTTTTTTACCACCTACTCCCAGAGGCCTGTCGCTCTGTCCGGATTGGCGACCCTGAATAGGGGTAAATGTCCGGATCGGCCAGCGAGATTTGGGACCAGGCCTATACCGGGATATTCGGGGGTCCTAGTACGATCCAAGAATTGCAGTGCGTTGGAGCCGGAGATGAGCGTACCGGTACGAGCTTGGAGAGACTGAAATGATATAGGGTCCGTGAGGAAGCGGGACAGGTGACGATTGATGTTGTAGGCACGGTGGATGAAGGATTGGAAGGCATCATGAGCAACTTGACATGTGCGCGAAACTCGTATGAGCTCTCTCGGGGAGAGACAAGAGAAGATTGCTTCATAAACCGGGGCGCGCGAGAAGGTTTGGTTGATATGGTCCAGCTGATGTGACATGTAGATGGCGATTAGAGAGGTCTTTTAGAACAATACGATGATCACGATTATGATGATACGGGTGCGCATCGAAACAGACTCAGTAAACTCTCCTAGGGGGAAGGTAATAGTACGCATTCAAGACACCACGTCAATAACATAGAACTTCGTGCGGAGTTTCAATCTACCATAACTCAATTCGCCGCTTGGGGTTTCTAGCGCTTCGTCTTACCCCTCATCGAACAGTTCATCGCCAATTAGATCAGAAGGAAGCTAAGCTACAGTGACCACTGCAATACGAGGCCTTTTACTGTCAAGTATGTCATTGTATACGCCATAGGAGGCTTTCGGTAGGTTGTACTTCCTGTAAGCGGATTCGAAACACGACGAACGCTTAAGCTGGCATAGATCATTTTGCTGTGTTGCCTGTTCAGTGGTTCGTCACATATATCAAACTCTCGATGAAGTTTCAAATTCTACTTGCATTTGCATTTGATTGTGATACAGAGATGAAAGTTCAAAGCCCGACTAGGTCACCAAGACCAAAGAACCACCCACGGAGCAATGATACACATACTTACAAGAGAAGTGCCTCCGCCAAAGCTCCGGCCCCTGAGTAAGAAAATAGGACGGGATCGAAGCAAAAGCTTGAGCATGGCTGCACTGAGTGTACTTAACATGAAACACAGAAACAGGAAGCACCTAGAGGCAATAAACGCATGTCCATCATACTCACATCAAGGAGATGAGACAGAGGTCCGCTACCCTTCGGCCCTGATATAGTACGAGTAACGAATAATAACAACGAACATCTGACACACCGGGCCGTTCCATGTATGGACGTTCCACAGCAAGTACTTCTTTGACTGATCTGCATACATCGGAAGCATCATGGGGTGACCTGTGTGTTATTCGGCTCAGTGGTCAACTGGTCATCTCGGAGTCACTCTGCTCAAGGTGGTGAAGCTTCGATAACGTTCCCCCAGCATTCGTGGTGATACACAGGTATGGGCTCCAAGCATGTGGTGGAACGGGATCTTGATGATGACTGTGCAACCGTGATTCTCGTCAGCTATTTGAAATACTTGAGGAAGTCTACGGAGGTCTACCGAGGGCTAAGTAGCCTTGAATAGAACGTTATCTTTCTCGAACGATATTACGTCTTGGTATCAGGTTGGGCGCAATAATGTGCCCATTCAAGCTTAAGCAGCTCTGAATCAGGCCACTGGTACATGGGATAATTCTCACAAGCCTTGGTCCTATGACACACGCATCGATCCAAGTTTTGGTTGCTGTGTTGAGGCCGTGGAGCAAAGCGCTTAGCGTAAGTATATCATCTGTTGGAGATATACAGTAATTCAAACTTCTGTAACCCCGGACCCCCCCCCCACCCCAACCAACCAACCAACT